TATACATGTATACATACATATATATATATATATATATATATATTGTGCCAAGTGTGCGGGTGGAATGACTAAGATAACCAGAATGACGACGTTTCACCCCACACCACACCCCATGTAAGCGCTCACAGATGGGGCTGTTTTTGTCCCATAGCAGAATCAAAGCTCTGTTAATATCTCAGTCTTTGAGATTATTTTCTTTTGTGCGTGCATCCGTGTGTGTGTGAATATCATCGATGTGACCACAAATAAGTGACTGTTTTCTATATTCTCAGAATGTTTTTACATTCCTCGTGTAATATCATTTGTCAGCTGCAGCAGAAGTGATGCAACCAAATGCCTATCAAGCTGCTTTCCTTTTTGATTTTTTTAAACTCGTTTGTTTGTTTTTTTCTTTCTCAGGGCATATGGGCATTAACTTCCATCATCCTGGAGCCCAACATATCATGCCCCTGAACAGTAAGTTGCATTCATTACCTTGCCATGTCATCCTTTTGGAGATATTTTCTCAGGGGGTTACATCTTAGTTAAAAAGAGGTATTTTGTGACATGTTTGCATTGCACAAATACTGTGTTTCCTCATACAGGTGTTGGTTTATTTACACAGTTGCAAAGAGGACGAGGCGTCTATTTTAGAGAAGGCATCTATTTGTGGTATAAGAGGTGTAATTAGTAGAAATGGTTGCGTATGGGTGGAGCAAGGCATTGATGAGTGTTATTTTTACTTCACTTTTACACTGGGAATGGAATGCGTACCTGGTTCACATGAGTGTCTGCTACCGTGGCCTTTTTATTCCTGGTTCATGTAAGTAACGTGTTGCAGTTCGAGTCAAAACTAATTATTTGTTTCTGGATGTCCAATACTGGAGGTGCATCAAGCTAAACAACGTAGCCAAAGCTGACAAATGTAAATGCTCTGACGTTAAGGACATTCAAGTTTGCAGCTGTTGCTTTGCTATATAATGATGATGTGTATTTTATTTTTTTTTCATGTTATTAATCAATTTGTTTATTTTTTATCTTGCATGTCTGAAGAAAAAAAGACCTTTTTTGATTTTTTAATCAACACGTGGTGGTTTTGCATTCCAGAGGGGAATGATCCATATCAATTGGGAGGAAAACAAAAGTGCTTTAAAAAAAAAAAAAAAAAAAGAAATGCAGTGAGTGATGCATTCCATATTACGTTTCTTGTACACCATCACCTACTTTGGAAAATCTTACCAAATCTGTGTAGTGTACCAAATTCAACTCCAACACTTGGTGGAAACATGGCTGTAGTAAATTCCTTTTGGCATGCCTTAGAGTGGCCAACTTTTGGGGATTTATGAGATTGTTAGAAAACATCGAGGACCGCTGTCACAAAAACAAAATCAAATCCAAACTACCGGGTTTCCACTTCAAAATAATCTGTTTTTCGTCCAAGGCACTTTCCTAGCCATTCCGGGATCCTGCATAGCCAAGAGTTGCCGTGCCACAACTTTCGCCAAGCAAACTCCACAGGACCTCTTTTGTAGACGTGTTGCTTGGCTGTCTACAGTTTGTTTCGTTTGAAATCTGTCTTTTGTGATGCCAGTCCTGGAACGCATTTTGTCTGGTCGTCCCTAACTGCAGCGATCCATGCCACTAAACATTTGGTGCACCTGCTTACTCTGGGTTTCCTGACACCGTAAACCAAGGATGAATCCTTTAGCACTGATGACCTGTGACTAGCACAGCTATAAATAGCCCAACATGTAAGACTAGATTCTCCTGGTGCTGGTGCTGGTCCACCAGCATGCAGTTGACCAGCCAGATGAAGAAATCAGGTTGTCATCCTGTCCTAGATATTTTTTCTTTTTTTTTTCCTCGTTGAATCCATTAAGTTCTCCATACAGGACATCCCCTTCTTATAAATGCACGGAATAATTTTTCTCGGGATACAATAAACTGCATTTCTTTACTTTTTGTCCAAATCACTTATATAAGGAATAACGTAATTTCTGCTAAATTCATATTTCACACAAGTGGTATTCTACAGTGCCTTCGAAAGGATAACGTAAAATAACTTTCTTGGCAGCGCTGCGTTTTTCTCATATTGTTTGTTTTTTTTTTTTTCCATAGCGATAGTCACAGGATTGATGTTAAACTGTGGTTTCATGGGGTTACGCCGAGGCAAGCACAAATCTGCCTCGAGCTTCCAAAGATGTCAGAACAGAAGCTTGCACTTCTGTAAAGTGTACAGATGGGGAAGCTTTGGTTTTGTAGTTTTTCGCCAACCGCTTCTTCTTCTTGTCACACCATTAGCTTTGATGCTCCAAGTTGTGAGAAGTTGAAAGGGAAGAACCCTGACCAGATAGCCCCTCAAGTGCGGAATAAAGTGTCAGTCTGTGACATACTTAATGGTGTGTAATAAACCTGTCCGTGGCCCACTCTCTGTTGCTGTGCATATGAGGACATACAGTAGAAATCACCCAATTTAATATCACCCAATTTAATATCACTCAATGCCCAAACCTTTAACACTGAGATGTCGCCTCAACCTGTTACTTAGCTCTATCCCCCTTCATGGGATTGCACCTCGTGCTGTAATTTCTGTCTGTTTTTCTGGTTGCTATGGTGACATTGTTACAGCCAGGCTAGAGGAGAAAGGGCTACAGGCAGCCTGCCCAGGTTTTGGGGGATTGGAGAGTCAGATCTTGTTTTAATGAAAACGTTGTGAAGGAGAGGAGCCTCAGAGACAACATATTATGTAATCCAACAATGCCCTCCTTGTGATACAAAGGTCCATATTTGTTTTTTGAGGTAAGGAACCAAAAGAAAGCGTTCCTCTCCCGCTGTTAGCATTTAGTGAGACACATTGACACACTTTTTTTTTTTTTTTCGGGGGTGCAGAGCAGATTAACAGAATTGTATTAATCCCATGCAGAAAAAAAAGCGATGCTCATGCAATGTTTTACAGCGGTCAACTCTTTCTTGCTCTTAAAAAATTGAGACTTCAATCATAACAAAAAATTGAATGTTCATGTTTTAGCTTGTTTTTTTCCTGGAGCTGAAATATTGAGCCACTTGCACACATGTAATGGAAATAGCTAGTCGATCATCATGTGATTTATAGTAATGATCCCAAACGTTTTTTTGCATCACGGACCTGTTTAGACAAGTACATGCTTTTCGCGGGCCGACAACCTTTCGCCAACGGGGGATTTGGGGGGCTGGTGCGTGCTGTAAAACTCCATCTTTTCATAGCTTTTAAATCGCCAATTTAAAACATTGGTAGTGACAACAAAGGTCATTTTAGAGGAATTCAACACTTTAACATATTTTTTTCCCTTTATTCCAAACATTTTCATTCAAATGTACAACAAATGTAGAACAATATAAAATAACACAGTGAACTACGAAAAATGGACCTTTCAGGGAGAGTGAATGCATCTTAAAATCTACATATCATTTTTAAGTTATGATCCTACATATTAACATCATTGCTACTTGCAAATGTGCATGATCGAAAGATGACACGATTGCTTGTTAATGTTTACGTGGGCAGGGTGTGCAAACTGTGTTTGCATTTTTATGCTTTCTGCTTCCTCATTCGGGTGCCACTTTTCACATGGTTCAACAAATTTGTTGTATTGCTCATGACGATTTACCTTGCGCAACAGCTTCTCTCTTTTTTCTTTCTCTTTCTCTTTCTCTATCTCTCTCTCTCTCTCTCCCCCCCCTCTCTCCCCCTCTTCCCCCTTCCTCCCTTCTCCCTCCTTCCCCCCATCACCATACCCTGTGGGAAGTTTCCACTCAACCACAGATTCCCATTCGAGCAAATTGTAATATTTCACCAAGGTCATGATAATGACTAACTAGCTCGACCTTAAGGTCCCCATTGTCCCATTTGTAATTAAAACACAGATTAGCATGAACGTCAGCCTTTGCCGGTTCATTAAGCACAAATGACAATGTCCGGTAATCCGTTACGCTAAAATATGTCAGCTATTTCCATGACTAAACCTCACCTATGAAGCTGTTGCAACGGAAGGTGCAGCAATTTGCAACAAGCAGAATAAAAATACTGCCTTTTCAGTTTAACAAGTTTAGGTGTGGCCATCTGTTTTTCCTGTTATCTTGGTGATGTTCCTGGATCGGTGTTATTTCTACAAAATGTCTTTGCATTCTCTCCCCTACCTGTGTTAATGCCCCAAACCCCCTGTCTCTACTTTGTCTTTTTTCCCCCCCACTTTCCTGACAACAGCCCGGAGCTTTGGCCGCAGAAGAGGTAATACATAGCTCTTCTTCTGGGCTCCTGCTTGCTTTGCCCACTACTGTATATCTTGTGGAAGATGAGGGGTGCCTCATCTGTCTTGTGATTGATTAAATCATCCAAATGATTTTCCTTTGATCAAAACGGGGTAAGAAAACCAAAAACGTTTATTGCTTTTATTTTGCAAAATCATGATGACAAATAAATGATTTTGTGGTGATGTGTTTAAGTAATTGGCACCAAACGTTTGAGGTACTGTTTGATTTTAGTTTGTCCAAAGTGTCCAATTTCAAACATTTTGAGAAAGTCTAGGTGACCTGGAATTGATTCATTTGATTTTCAAATGAATTCTTCAAATATTATTGTCCTTAATGTGGAATGTCAGGGCTTCTATGATTAATGTTTTTTTTTTTTTTTTTTTTTTTTGTGAACCAAATCCGAACTAAATTTTGTTAATTCATCTACTCGTACATATGAAATCCACAGAAGAACTATCAGCAATCCTTCATTAGACTTTTTGTGCATAGTAATGGTATAAATATGCTGCTTTTCCATTGCATAGTGCCAGGCTTGCAGTGTTGCCAACTGCTTAGTAAGCAAAGTAGATATTGGCTGTCCTTAAATTTATCTGAAGTCATTATGACTATACCTTATATAGCAAACAATTTTTATAATAGGAAATTGGCAAAGAGTTTCATCCTGATGGACATTGTATGAGATAGGACTAATGTACTAAATATGTTTTGACCTGACCTCCGATTGGCTGGCGACCAGTTCTGGGTGTACCCTGTCGCTTGTCCAAAGTCAGCTAGGAAAGGCTTCGGATCACCTGTCACCCCATCTGACCATGTGCTGTAAATTTTAATGTTTGTTTTAACTAATGGAAAGGCATCAAATGAGTTGAGTCGTGCCGAGCCAAGTAGGTACTATGCAATGGAAAGAAGCCAAAAGTTTATGTGGATTCCCTTAAGCTTGGACTGAATGCTCCGTCTTTGTTATATTGTCCTTGTTCCCTCATCATTTTTGTTTGTTTGTTTTTAACTAGTGTGCATGTAGTGGCCATCCATTCATTATCAAAAGCTTTCTCCACTGAGGAAATGATGTGTACTGCTACATGGTGATTAGGGGAGAACTAAAACTGTCACATTATTGGCCTTCAGTTTTTCTGTCAATGGACTTGTGTTCATTTTAGAAGCAGTGCATTCTTACGGTGGATTTAGAGTTCGTTTTAGGATTGAACAATGAATACATTTACCTTTGATACCGGTATATAAAAAAATAAAAATGAAAGACTGAGCAGGATTCAGTGCAGTGGTTACAGAAGTGGATGATGTCAGATATTTACCTTGAGAAAGTCTGTATAACTCCTGCATTGTCTCTGACCGCCTCTCTTAATCTTTTTTTCTATTTTCCTCCTTGCCTTTCCTCTCCTCCCACTGTAGGTCGTTCTTACCTTTTTCCCTTTGAAGATGGCTTCCTTGACGATGGCCATAGTGACCTCTCCATGACCCCTGGCCTGAACTCTCCAACCCGTTGTCAGAACGGAGAGAGGATGGAGCGCTACTCCCGCAAGGTCTTTGTTGGAGGCCTACCCCCAGATATAGATGAAGGTCAATATTTGTACTTTATGTCCTTTTTCTTGTTTTGACTTTGTCTTGCTGTAGCTTAATATTTGGATTGAAAGTGAAAGTGACAAAAAATTGATTTGAACGAACACACACACACACACACACACACACACACACACACACACACACACACATATATATATATATATATATATATATA